TCCAATCAAAACTAAGCTTTGGGTTTGCGTCCCGCTAGGTGAGATTAATAAATATGTTTTCTTCATAATTTACTGAGCAGGAGTAAAAAAACCAAACTTCATCCCGGTTGCTTCTGGTTCATGATCACGGTCGTTCGGTCAAAGCCACTTTGCTAACGAAATCTTAGTGAACTTGATCATCCTAGATTTCTGAACGCCGAAGCAATTGGATGCACAGCTAAATTGAAGAAAATACAGGCCACCATTCACATAAATATTTAATTGTTTGAGCACATAGCAAGTTTCCTTCGTCACAAGTTAAGAACTTCGGAAGTAGAAGCTTGACAAGGCAATGACTCATCTTACTCGGCGGCCAGCTTGTAATCCATGATCATGCATGGTCTGCGGCAATTTTATATATATTAAAAGGAAAAGTAGGAAAAAATAAACGTGATTATTTTCAATTGCAATTGAAGGGAGTTAGGGTTCAAAAAGTTTACAGATTTATCTCTGATAATTGAAAGGATGATTCATCTAAGAATAACCAAGCTTCATGCCTTCTCTTCCCTTTTAGTTTATGACAAGCATTCATATTTGAATTGGTTTGTTTAAAAACCTAATTTACAATACAGTAAATATGGAAAATTTTGCTCCCTGTTAGTGCTGTTAAATTTTTGGACTCTTTATCTGGAAAGACTAAGTAGGCTATACTAATATCCATACAATGACCATACAAAGATGAGCATGTAGCAGTCCCCTCCAGCAGAAAATTTTGTCATGTCTCCACGTCGTTTCATAAATGCTGAGCTCTCCAATCAACAGCAAAATTTACATCACTGTCATCGTCGCTGGATGAATCTTCATGGCTAGACTCTTTGCTAGCAACCTCAGAACCTTTGCTGCGTTCGGAAGCCCTGGTGGCCGTTAACTCCATTTTCTTTTTTTTCAACAATTCAACTCTTTCTCTGTATGTCCTGGTAAAATAGAGATAAAACAATGAATGCAGAAGCAGGAATAATTAGCAACCAAACTAACAACGATGTTATTGAGGACAGAAGAAAAGGAATTGTGGCCAAAATGAGCTTACTTCTGCTCCAATGATTCAGCTTCTTCGATAGTTTCAGCTGCATCAACCTGAAGTTACAACGTAACATATTAAGTACTTGAGCTTCTTGTGTTGGCAAGTGTAAAAGGAAAATAGAACTAATTCTAAAATGATTGGTAATAGGATAGATAAGCCCAGACCTCCTCTTCTTCCAAGCGGTCATCCACCTCCCGCAGGTCTTCTTGGATCAGCTTTTCAAATTCTTTGTACTCATCACTAACCCGAATTTAACACAAATACAAGGTTACGCTGCATCCCAAAATAATATAAAAATATAATGGAAAGAATATCATTAACACATTGAAGAGCTATAAGGGGAAACATAACATGCAGCAAGTTCAGAAGGAAGATGCAAGATGCAAGTTACTGGAAACTGTAAGGCATCTCAAAATATACATCTACAAAAAAACTTCTAATGCACTACAGAATTCCGTGAGAGGTACTATTCCAAAGGAAAAATGGAAGAAAAGGCACCCTCCAAGAAACACACATACAGTCATCTGGTTTGCATACTTCTCTTAGAAGATCAGAAGGTCAAGACAGAGAATGTGTGGGATAACAGATAGAGTTCATCATGTAGGATATAAAAACCGATCGCTGTTTGAGAATGTCAAAAATTTATGTACACTCATGATATCGAGACTCAGCAGTTCGGTTTAACTAGCAGTTAAAGATTTCAAATCTGCACTGGATAAACAGACACCAAGAAAACTACGTTTAGAAAACAATAGATTCATTGGTTCCCATTGGTTCTTAACATTCATTCTCATTCTTCTTCATATTTTGCATTTGACTAGTTTCTTATTGTTTACTATAAAATGGAAAAAATTTGTGCCTTTTCTCTCTCTCACCATCAACTGAATATGCCTATAGTAAACTTGATATTCAGGAAACAGAAGAAACAGATAACAATGAAGAAGAGACCCATTTAACATCAGTCTAAGGAAACTAGGATTGCCACAGATACGATATAATATTAGACAACTTACTTGACATCTGGCTTAACAGGCTTAATACCACGAGCACGTAAATCAGCTTCCTTGTTATCAAAGAAGCCCTCAGGAAGAGCTCCTTGTCCTTTCTTGGCTTGTGTGTCAGAAATTTCAGTGGGTGTGTTTGTAATCACCCGAGCATCCTCAGTCTTTTTTGTCTGCAGATGATTACCACTGGGCAATCCACCAGTCTCATCTTCCAAGAGAGACCGTGTCGCCTTAGTTTGAATAGAACTGGCTGGCTTTAAAGATGAATCTAGCTCAGATGGCTTGACAGCATCTGCACTTAAATGTAATATTTTAGCCTTAAAAGTTTACTCATCCAACAGCCAGTGCCAAATACTTTTAAGGACAACATATTGAACATGTTACTGAGAATGACAGAAGCACAGGTTCTGTGCAAACATGGAAACAACAATAACATGATGAAAACTAGCATAGACAAAGAGGGGACACAGGGAACAAAAGGTTCTATTTTAGGTTAATGACTTCATCAGGTAAAGCAATTAGAGGGTGCTACTGCAACTAAAATTACTGTATATGAAGAGCCCAAAAAATGAAATTTGCATGGATAGCATTATGCGAGTGATTTATCATGTGGCAGGTTGAAGGTTATCTTCATGTGTAAAATCTTTATCAATTTTTAGACAAAAGTTTAATGATCAACTACTGCATGCAAGGGACAAAAAAAAGGTTGAAAAGGGGATTGTTAAAACAGGCAAAGGGAGCAGGTGTAGTCAGGACGGAAAACATCATGTCTTTGGTGGGGTTATGTGGTGGAAGAGAGGAATGAGGGCACAGTTACAATCTATAATGCATAAGATAAAATTTAAGTGCCTAAAAGGTGGCTGGAAATTAAGGAAAGTGGTAATGGAATCGAATTTGTAGATATCAACACATGATGCAAGAGGAAAATGTTAAAAGGGCTATGTTAAAAGGGCTATGTAATTTCACCTGGAATTCCTAGGAAATGACAGCTAGGAAAAAAATATCAGACCTTCAAAAAGACCTCAGTTGCATCTGAAATGTAAATATTGTTCTCATTCATTTAAAGTTGCAGAACCATTTAACAATGTCGCTGTTTGAAGTAAGATGCGATACTTTACAAAACTATGTCAATATGGCTTCTCAATAAAATTCAAAAAGATATTTTCCATTGTAACAATATTCTCACCATTAAACTAAAGCATCATTTTTCTTTATTTTTATTATCAAAAAGAAATTAAAGCATATCCATGACATACATACTGGCCACTTGATTTCTTTCTTCTTTTTTTTTGGCCTAAGGAATTTATGAACCAAAAAAAAATTGTATTATTGTACCAGTTTTTTGTCTCTTTGCCTCTTTATTATCAAAAAAATCTGGAGGAAGTGCTGACTGAGGTCTGGGCAATTGTGTCAATGACTCAGATTTTGCATCTTGCAGCTGAGCATTATCTGCATGCTTGGATCCAGTTGACACTGCAGAGGGTTCAGATTTTGCATTGTTAATATTCTTTAATCGAGCTGCATTCACTTTGATGTTATTTATTGCCTGTCCAAAACAACCCAACAGTTAGAGTATGGTCAGTCTGGAAACACAGAAAATTGAAAACACATGTTGTGATCGGAAATGCATCCTCAAGCAGGCATGGTAGCTATATACCTTGGAGCAGAATGCAATACATATTTAGGAGTATTTGATGAAGTATTTCTATCACTATTACCTTGAAATTTCTATTGGAAAATTTCCCAATTAGAATGAAGTAACGCTCTAGTGCCAGAGTTACTTATTTCACATTGCTATTGAGATGGCTTACGTTGAAGTTCAACTACAACCAAGACACATTTTCAGGAGTTTTCAAGCTTCTAACTAAAGAGCACAGGATCATGTTCAATTGTCGAAGCTCTTTTACCTAGCAGAAGATTCTCACCATAAAGCATGCGGTATCCCAAATTTATCATGTCTATAATTATGGCTAATTTCTCAACAGTGTTATCCAAAAATCATTTGTAACAGAAAAGGGGATTGAGATATCTCTATATTACCTCAATATGTTTACGAGAAGCTTGGTGAGCATCCCACTGGAATTCAGATTTCAAAACAACATCACAAACCCTACAAACTGGTTGATCCAATTCATTGTACCTGTATTTTGTACAAGAAAGAGATATAGGTAAAAACTTCATTCTGTTAAGTAAACAAAAGAGAGTAGCAATAAAAAGATTTAAAAAAAAAAAACATGGTTCATCTGAAAGTCTCAATTCTCAGAGACAAATAACCAAAAACATCATAACACCAAAAGCATAATGCTGAAATTATATATCACAAGTGAATCTCCACTGTTTCTCCATCATATCTACCGAAAAGCCAACTACCATTTCTCCATAATACACCAAAGCGCCATGTCAATCACAACTAAAACTGACATCACCACACTTGTACAAAAAAAGTTCATCTTTTTTATATACTCACATAACCCCCGATTTCGTGACATCAGCATAAACATCAAAATAACACCCTTTTTTTTTTTCATTTGATCAAAACCCTCACTTGAAAATGACTCAAAAAAGTAAAACAAGGTAACCCATGTATTCCGTCAACCTCATTTTGCAGTCTTTCTAACTTCAACAACTACTTCAGCAACACCAGGCCATCAAACCCACCATCCAAAAATCTAAACAGAAAACAGAGAAAGAATCATAATATCAAAACGGGTTTCTTAGAAACTGCTGAAATTCTAGCTTAAAACACTAATCCCCCGTGCTTAGATACTATTATTTGCTACATTCAAACTCTACATGGAATCAATTAAAGAGATTTCAAAATAGGGTGTACCTAACAAGAGGAGAATCGATTTTCTTCTCTTTCCTTTGGGCGTTCAGTTTGGATCGAAACAGTGCCTTCTTCTTCGCTGCGTCCATTGGAAAATCGGGCTGACGTCTTCTTGTTCTTGTTCCTCTCGTCCTCTCTTCTTTGCTCGGACAAAGATTCTCTCTTTTTTGTCTTCTTAATTTTTATTTTGTGGATTAAGATATCGGAATTTTTTGAGAATTTTAAATTTTTTATAAACATGGCAATTTTATTTGAATGGGTAATGGGCCCAAACAACTTCAGCGTGGGGAGGTGGTTAAAATCCAGGAAAATTGGGATGATAATTTGGCCCAATTTGAAGAAACAGGCCCAACAAGAACCATCTAAATAACTGCCATGGCTTTAAAAAAAAAAAAATACGTCAGTTTTGGTTTTTTTTTTTTAATAAGAAAAAAGTCAAGATGAAATTATATAAAGTAAATTCTCAGAAGATTAGGTCACTAAGAGCTTTCGTTTTTTTTTGATAAAAAAGTGTTTTTACAGAAATTTATTTTTTTATTTTTTTCACTTCAATATTTAAAAAAAAATATATTATTTCAATTTTCAAACTATTACCAAACACGTTCTATTGACTCACCATGTTTGAGCCAGATTTAATAACATTGCTATCAATACTAAAGTAATGCTTGTTATAATACAAAGCTGTAATGGGTGATGACAAAGATAGGAAGAGAAGCAGGCATGAGACAGCGCGGGACAGAGGACCAAGATGCTGATATCCTTGGGTTTGAAATCCAATCATTTCATTTTCGGTGGCAATTTTTAAGCACTGGTTTGTGAGATTTTTATGCGTATAGCAACTAGAAGGACATAGTTTTTAAATCCGGTCCGGTGGCTGATCCGGTTCAAGGCCCGGGTTCCGGGTTTTGACCGGGTCGAACAGGTCGGCCAGATCAATTTCTATTTTAAAAAAAAATTCAAAACGACGTCGTTTTAATAAAAAATAAATAAAAGTCAACGGGTTACCACCAGGTTTTGCCAGGTCGTCCGGGTCACGTCGGGTCATGACTTACCTTATTTTTTTATCAACTCGGCCCGGTTCCAGCCCCGGGTCGGCCGGGTCCCGGGTCAACCCGCCGGGCCGGGCCGGGTTTTAAAACTACGAGCAAGACAAACAAATCAGACAACTGCCTCCTTTATTTCTTCTATCACTATGTGATAAAACATTGAAGTTTACTTTGCATTTACACCCTCGTCAAAGATGTGATCTAGCAAATACTTTTCAAAGGAAGAAAAAACAATCAATACAAGAAGAGTGATTTATGTATTTAGGCTAAAATGCATTGGAGACACACGGTATATCAAGAGACTACAATGCTCGCCCCGGCCAATTCAACATTTATTCAACCATAAACAATTCTAAAGCTTTGCAAAAGTAGTACAGGCTGCAAAAGAGATGGATCAATCACAGAATATCAACTCAGAAACCACCGCGAAGGCGGAGGACAAGGTGCAATGTGGACTCCTTTTGGATATTGTAGTCTGCCAGGGTACGTCCATCTTCCAACTGCTTACCAGCAAAGATCAACCTCTGCTGGTCTGGTGGGATCCCCTCCTTGTCTTGGATCTTTGTCTTCACGTTATCAATGGTATCAGAGCTTTCCACCTCAAGAGTAATGGTCTTTCCTGTCAAGGTCTTGACAAAAATCTGCATCCCACCACGCAGACGGAGCACCAAATGCAGAGTTGATTCCTTCTGAATATTGTAGTCTGCAAGGGTGCGACCATCCTCCAGCTGTTTTCCAGCAAAAATCAACCTTTGCTGGTCCGGTGGAATCCCTTCCTTATCTTGGATCTTTGTTTTGACGTTATCAATAGTATCCGAGCTCTCCACCTCCAAGGTGATAGTTTTTCCAGTGAGGGTTTTCACAAATATCTGCATCCCACCACGCAGTCGGAGCACCAAGTGCAGAGTTGATTCCTTCTGGATATTATAGTCTGCAAGAGTGCGACCTTCCTCAAGTTGTTTCCCAGCAAAGATGAGCCTCTGCTGATCTGGTGGAATTCCCTCCTTATCTTGGATCTTTGTCTTGACATTATCAATGGTATCCGAGCTTTCCACCTCCAAAGTAATTGTCTTTCCCGTCAAGGTTTTCACAAAGATCTGCATCCCACCACGCAGACGAAGCACCAAATGCAGAGTAGATTCCTTCTGAATATTATAGTCAGCAAGGGTCCTTCCATCTTCAAGCTGTTTGCCAGCAAAAATAAGCCTTTGCTGATCCGGTGGGATCCCTTCCTTGTCCTGAATCTTGGTCTTCACATTGTCAATTGTGTCAGAGCTTTCCACCTCAAGGGTAATAGTCTTGCCAGTAAGAGTCTTCACAAAGATCTGCATCTGTTACACCCAAAGAAAAAAAATCATGAGTACCTCTATAATTCAAGATCAAAAGATTTAAAAAAATAAATAAATTAAACTATTTTTCAAAAACCCTAAAAAAGATTAAGCAAAAGAAATCTAAATAGACCCTCATCAAGCAAGAACTTCGAAAACCCTCAAATGATAAACTAAAAGAAATCAAAACAGACCCTAAACAAGCAACAATTTCAAAAACCCTAAGAAGATTAAGAAAAAGAAATCAAAACAGACTCTTATCAAGCAAGAACTTAAAAAACCCTAACAAGATTAGGCAAAAGATATCATCCTAATCCCCAAATTCAAGTGAAAAAATCTTTTAAAATTTCTTTTTTTCAAGATATAAAACAGAGATTGATCAAACTTCTAACATTAATACACACTAATCTTAGTACTGTCTTCAACTAATCCAAATTAACCAACTTGGAAAGAAAATTATTAGCACCTCCACAGATTGCACAATCCAGCATCAAAACAGGGCAATTATAAAGAACAAATCCTCTTCAAATAAAAACAAAAACAGAAGAAATACAGAATTTCTTGATGCTTAAACCCAATCAAGCAACAACTTGAAAAAACCCTTAGCAGATTCAATTCAATTAATCAATCAATCAATCAAAAGGCAAGCATAGATGAATTCTCAGATAATACAGACTTTGACAGATAAATCAAAAAACCACAGAGGCTAATTAAAGAGAATAGAGAGAATAATTAAAGGAAACGAAAGGTGTTCAAGAAGAAATTACCTTAGCAAAATAAGAAGAATGAAACGAAGCTTGAGAGGGAGAAGGATTATTTAACGAAATCACAAGTGAGAGGAGTTAGATGGGAGTTGGGTATTTATAGGACGTGGTGAAGGTTTCTCAAAGCGGTGCGGTGGGCTTTAATAATTTGACTTGCTCCAAACGATGGGTCCAGATTCTTCTCGGATTGTGGTGAAGGTATCTGAAAGCTGTGCAGTGCGGAATTAAAATTTGACTTGCACGCCACGAAGGGTCTATATTCTTCTCTTTTCTCTCTCTTGGGATTTATGTTAGACTAACCAAATTTAAAAGTAGTCACTCTATTTACTTTGTATTTTAATTATAGTTATTATTCTCTTAATTGTTTTTTATTTTATTTTATTTTTCTTTTCAATTAGAAAAATTAAAAGATGTTTTCTCATTTTTTATTAATTTTTATTATATTCCTCATTATTATTATTATTTTAATTGCTCTTTTTTAAAAAATTTATTTTTATTTACTTTTAAATTTTATTTTTTAATATTTTATTTGATTAAATTTTTATATATTGTTCACTATTCAAAGTGATTCAGCCAAATTCTTATAGTACAGCAAATAACTAGCTGGATGCTAGCATAGCAGTGCAAGTTTTGTAACTTCTAAAAAAGAATTGGGAGCAAAACCCAATCTTTTTTGAATCTTATCAATTCTAAAATATATCTGGGTTCTATTACAACTAAGAACTAAAGCTATTTTAAATCCTGTTTAACTTAGCCTAAATCTAGCATTGAAAATAACTAGGCTGTACAGAATTCAAGGTTATTTAAATCTTATACATGGCAAAATCTAAGTTTATTTTTGAGTTCTATAACTAATAATTTTTATGTAATTTATAAATGAAAATAAATGTAAAATTAAGTATAATTTGATAAAATTATTATTACAATACATTTGGTAAAATTAATAAATAATATAACATTTTTTTTCAAATTCATCAATTATTTTATTAATTACAATAAAATATACTTTTATAAATTTTACTAAAAATAATAATATTTATAATACAAATCATAATATTTTTAGTATTGATTATTATAAAAATAATATTATTTATATCTCCAAAAATAATAATTTTTTTTTAGATTAATACTATTAATTATAATAAAAAAATATTAAGAAAAAATATAATATTAATTTTAATATTAATTATACCAAAAAATAATATTAAAAGAACAAATAATAATAGTTTTGAGATCAACACTATTAATTAGACTAAAAAAATAATAATATTTTTAACACCAATACTATCAATTATACTGCAAAAATATATTAAGAAAAAATATAATAATTCTTTTAAAATTAATAATACTAAAAAATAATATCAACAAATAAAAATAATAATATTTTTACTATTAATAATCTAAAAATTAATTATACTAAAAAATTAAAAAACTAATAATAATATATTTAACATTAATATTTATAATTATATTAAAAATGTAAACAACCCAAGCACCACATGGAACTTGAGTTGCATGCAAGAGAAAGTAAAGTAAGAGCCGAGTGATGCTGGGCTGCTGGTGTAGAATAGTAATGCTCAGGTGCTATGTGACGCTTGGTTTATGCTAGCATCTTTTCTTGGTTTGCCCCAACCCTAATGCGAGGCAAACCAAGTGCTATAGGGCTTATCTTTAGGTTAGCGTCTCTAACCCAACCACACCCTTGTCAAACAATATAGTCTACAATAAAAAAAAAATATATAGTCTACAATAAAAGTTTTCATAGTTCACAATAAAAAGTACTCATAACATATCTATAGTGCAACATAGTATAATTTATAATGAATTTATTCATGGTAAATAGTATTCTACGTTATAGCCTGGATGAAATTTAGGTATAGTTAATTTTATTTGTGAATCTTATTTACGATATTTAAAAATATAATATTAAATTAGAATATAGATTTGTTGATTGTTTCTGTAACTTTTACAAATCGTGTAAAATTATTATTGTTTAAAAAATTAAGACATGTAAGAAAATGATTTGTTTGCTTCGAAAAAATCAATAATATGTATTGACCTTTCTAAATCTTTATCAGAACAAAATGATAGAAGTTAATACAAGTCAATTCGGTGAATCGTTAATCGAGCATTTACACCAGTTGGGTTTTATATTTAGAAGTTGACCAACTCATTTAAAAAAAAAAAAACTTAAAATAACATTATTTTCAATTGTTTTGATCTTCACTTAACTGAGTTATGAGCAGTCCTGGTTTTATTTCTATGGATTAGCTGTTAGAGTTGAAACACTATAAGCTTGATAGACTTAAACCCTGTTGCCTGCATCCATTGTCTTATCAAAAACCCCAACTGCTACTTTGTTCTGCTTGGCAAACCCTGAGGCTGAGAAGCAGAAGAAGAGAGAAAATTGAGAGAAAGAAATGGAGGAGAGACTGAAGTATTTGACAGTACTAGTGGGAGCTGGAGCTCTCTTAGGTTCTGTTTCTATTCTATTCATTCTCAAGCTTCTTCCAAGGCAAGTCATTTACACACTTCACCAATCAAAAGTTGGAAAAATTAAGAAAAGGATTTTCTTAAAGTTTGAATCTTTTGTTTGAATTGATTCATTTTGTTTGTGTTGTTCCAGAAGGGTAGCAAAGGAATGCTGTGTAAGGGTTAGTGAATCGAATGCTGGTTAGTTGCTTTCTGATTTGCTTTCTTAGTATTCAGTTTTTGTTTGTTCTTGATAGTTTCTGGTATTTAACTATTTATTGAATGCCTCTTTTCAAATAATAAAGAACAGAATCATAAGTAGGAAATGGTTCTTAATTGAAGTCGAGGGTTGTTCTTTGGGTGGAAAATAATGTGGGTTATTGGTAAAAATTATATTTTTTTGTTTTGTGAGAAGTCATTTGGAAGCGTACTGGTCTCTTCCCTGCTCTCTCAAGCTCCTAAATTTACTTGTATCGTACAGTTTTGATAATGATTTGAATAACTCGAAACATACCATTGGACTAGATTAGTTTTACACCTGCTAGTGGAAATCCGGAATCTTAACGACACCGTCCTCCGGGTCTCTTCCCCTCCTCCTCGGACCTCTAAAATTTACATCCATGGCAGCTCCTAAAAACAAGTTGGATAGCTCAATACATATTGGACCAAAACAGCTCTAGACCTCCAAGCCCGAATCTTAAGAGCTGAGATTCCGACAATGGGTCTCTTGTCGTCTTTGATTTCCATTTTTCAACATTTCTTTCGTTCTTGAATTATGGCAACTTAGCTGCTCTATTTTAATAGATGCATCTCCCTCTCACTATTCCCCATCCGCTTCTGACACCAAAAAAAAAATTACACGGAAAAATTTCAGTATTCACTTTTGCAATCATCGAAGTCGTGAGTTCCAATGCTGTAAAGTCCATTCCTGAAGATGGGTCCTTCGGCGATGGAGTTAGGGAAGTGAAGGCAATCGATGCTTTAAAAACTTGTGTTAAGGGACTAGCGGACTCTATTGTGACCAAGATTCCCTGTTTATTTGTCCACCCGCCAGCGAATGTCCTGAAATCATCATCCAAGACTTGCAGTCTTCAGGTTCCAATCATAGACTTTGAAGGGTTGGAGAGTTGTTGGAGACCTGAGGTGGTCAAAGCATCAGAAGAATACGGTTTCTTTCAAATTGTTAATCATGGAGTTCCAGTTAGTGTTATGGATGAGATATTAGCAGCTACGGAACGATTCCACAAGTAACCCCAGGAAGTGAAGATGGAGTGGCACTCATGTGACCCTAACCAACAGGTGAAGTTCTTCAGTGGGGAGGATTCCATCGGAAAAATGAATCAGATGCCTGCAGGGATTCAGTAGCAATTGATTTTCAGGATGGTAAACTAACTGATCCTGAGATTTTTCTTGATGCATTCAGATAAATGGGCATCAAGTTCCAAATTCCTCTCTATACATTCAATTATCTAGGAGATTGTTATTAGGTTTATGTTAAACATGTTTTTCAGAGAAGAGACAAATGAGTACATCAGACACATGATCAAAATCAGCAAGGTACTGACAGAACTCTTATCAGAAACACTCGGACTTCGTAGTGACTACCTTTCAAGCATAGAATGCATGGGATGTGAATCATTGTCATGTCACTGCAAATCGTACAGACTCATCTTTCTTTACTTTACTTCTGCAAAACAAAATGGATGATCTCCAAGTTCGTCATCAGAATCAATGGGACTTAATGCAGGTAAATTGATTTAGATTCTCCTTCTGTTAAAAAAGGATTAACTTGATGACGAAACATTTTCTTGACACTCTGAGATCACCATACATGAGGATGAAAAACAAATCAGCAAGATTTTAAATCAACGCAATGCCAAATAATTAAATAAAAAAATTGATAGGCCAAAATTCTTTTAAAAAATTTTTGAACTGCAAAAAAGAGAAAAAAAAAGTAGGTGCTGATAACATATTTTCTAATAGAAAAAAATGTAATTGTATTGGGGTTAATACGATCGACTTGGTGAGTGTAAATGCAATTTAAACTTATAGAAAAAAACAATAATAAAAATAAATATTTATAAAATTAAACATCAATAAAATAACTAAATATTTATTTAAAACTACAGTAATTAAATAAATGAGCATCCGTTAAAAATAAATCAAATATTAAAAAGAAATTGAAAAAAAAAATACCTAGATACAAAGCCGAGGTAGCCTAATATGCCTTGGCCTTGATAAAAAAGTTAATAAGTGCCAGTTTGCTAGTTGAAGCTCATGTATCTAAGCCTTGTTTTTTTTTTTGTTCTTATCATCTTTCGCAGCCTTTTTTGAAGAAAAAACAGGCAACACATCACCTGCTATGCCAAGATTCCACGACCAGAGAGGTGTTAGAAACTTAGGGTAGAGTTGTTTTACATCTAAAAAACTATTTTCAATCATTTTATGATTTAAAAATAAATAAAAAATATAAAAAACTAAATAAACTTATTTATACCTTTAAAAAACTTGAAAAACAGTTCAAAAATAAAAAATTAACCTAAAATCCAAAGATTTATTGAGGTCAAATATATTATCCCAAACAATTTAAAGAAAAAAGAAAATCCTAATAGAATTTTTCTAATCAAATATAACTTGGTGAAATTAAAATTAATTATTTTGATAATTATAATCAGTATCAATTATTTTTTTTATCATTAAAATTTGGTAACTTTCTTAGTTTTAGCTTAAAATATTGATCGAGAAATATAGTTTAGAATGGAAAGAGAAATTTTTAAAAAACTAAAGGGACTGAAAATGGATGAATAAACTTATAAAATTGACTTTATGCCTTTCAAATTTTATAAGGAATAAACTCAATTTTATAAGTAAAAATATATTTTACACACCAATTAATGGACTGATAATATTTAGGAGAAACCCCATGATACTTGCTCAAGCTGTAATTATCATTCACTTCAGTATCAGAGAAACAAGAGGGATAGAAATTTGAAAGAGTATTTTTGTTTTAAAAGAAAAGAAATAGGATTCCTATCATTTTCAATATGTCTAGACTTCATCTTTTCTTCTTCTATCTCTCTCTCCTATGTTATAAATATTGATAATTACAACTTAATAATCATAGATTTTTGTTTTTGTTTTTTGTAATTCAGTGCTATCGAGCAACAGGAGGGATGAAGTCTTAAGTTTGAGGGAACTTGCATTCAACTCAAAAAACAGTACTATTCAAGCTTGGTTTATGAACTTTTTCATGGAGATTTAGCACAAATTAAGCAAATACGAATGAAAAGAAATACATCAGAAGAAGAAGAAGAAGATCGGGAGCAGTGATTCATTGCTTGCCCTTTCATGGAAACAGTGGCATAACTCATTGCAACATATTGCTTGAAGGGTCCGTCCATAAACGTCTGAAATTAATGGGCACTCCATGATTTTCTCACCCACTCTTCTCTTGTTCGTGCATGATTTCCATTTTTCAAAAAATATATCAATGTGAAGGGAATGAAGGCAATCCATCGACGTCAATCTGATTGTTAGCTAGTGATACCAAATATAGAACTATTTTAGACAAGATATATTGTAGCTTAATTAGGTGTTAAGAGAAAGAAAACCGATTGATTTTTTTATATATCTAATAAATGATTGATTTATTAATAGAATAATCATTCAATAATGAAGGAAAAGAACTAAAAAAAATAATTAAAAAATTATTTTAATACATGTTAAAATAAAAAAACATTCTAAAAAAACATTTTGTATCTCAATCTTAAATATTTAATGTATAGATTATAAATTTGTTTATTTTTGTGTTGCAAAAGTGTTTTTGTAAAAAAATTTTTTTTTTTTTTTTAAATTATTTTGATATTAATTTTAAAAATAAATTTTTAAAAATAAAAAAATATATTTTTTAAATAAAATGAAAATTAACTGTATCTTGGGCCCTTATTTTAAAAAGAAAGTGTCTGCAGGCTTGTATGGTATGATCACTGATGGTCCCGATTTTGCCCTTATAGGGCAGAAAAAGCAGGGCCTTATAATTTGTCCGGTGTGGCCACGCGCGAACACCAGGTATGGTTAGCCAGGCTGTGCAGCAATAATGTTTTCCAGTCACCAAGTTACCTCAGGGATTAAGCTGTAGTTGTCGGAATGTTATGCATATAAAAAGGATTGAAATTCCTGGAAACATTCTCAATTCTCTCGAGCATTGCTGCTCAATGATTACCCTTTTATATGTGATTGAAGAAAAAAAACTATTTAAATGTATATTCAATAACAAAAAATAATTATCTTCATTAGATATTCAAAAACAAATTTTTAATTTTATTTGGATACACATGAAAAAAAAATCTTAATATTCTTATAAAAATGCTTAACATTATTTGATAACTATGCCAAAATTAAAAATAACTTAAGATAACATGCATTAATTCTTAAAAACAAGTTAAAATAAATAAGATGTAATTTTGATATCTTCATACCCTTTAAAATATAATATTAGTTTGTTTGAGATTTATAGCTATTTCTCTCAATAAATATACTTTATAAGAATTGAATTTGGACTTTTATCCTTCCAGTAATATAACAATATTTTAATCGTTAAATAAATATTTTATTGGTATCAATATATTTTAATTTAAAAATATGTAATAAACACCCTAAAAAACATAACGAATAATTTTTAATCCCAAACACTCTCAAATTAGACTAAAAACACAAAATTAAATAAAAAAATCCCTCAACCCCAATATATATTTATTATTATTATATTAAAGTTAAAAAAACACTTCAATAATACCGTATTGTCCAAATGAACCCACTTACATAAAAATCAAGCTTTTTAAATGGATTATAAATACGATAAACCGACAACTTTCTTTTTTCTCCTCTATTTTTCAGGGATTGTCTCTCTTTTGTCAAACCCTAGTGATCGAAACCCAAAACATATGAAATTTAGGGCTGAAAAGCCAAACCATAAAACAACAAGAAATGAAGAAATATAAAAGTAACACATCGAACTTTTTAGGTTTATGTAATAATATGATATAATAAATTGACTTGGATTTGACGAAGAGATGCATTGAACCTTGCATCGAACCATGATGGGTGAAAGTTGTCCCGGCTGGCTTATGCCTATGATGGAAACAAACAGCCAAAAAAAAAAGAGACAGGAATTTAGAATTAGCTTAAGGTAAAATGAAAACATATAATGTGTTTCTTTATTTTTTTTTAAATTAATTTTTTATATTTTTAAATTATTTTAATATACTGATATTCAAAATAAATTTAAAAAAAAATAAAAAGATATCATTCAAAATTAAAAAAATATTTTAAAAAACTTCTCCATCAATCTCAGACAAGGTATTACTCTAACGATTATAGCAAGTGATCATCAATAATGGAATGGCAAATCATGGTGGTGGTTCCAAAGTCCACCTCAATACGTAATGCAACAGTGTGGATGAATATGGAAAATAAAATTGACATGTTTCTTTCTTTTCTTTTCATGATAATATGGTAAATAGAGAGTACTGATTGGAAAAGGAAAAATTAAAGAAAATGATGGAAACCAAACAAATATTATTGGTAAGAGATTAGTATTTAATCTCTTTACGTTTTTTTATTTTTTTAGTCGAAGCAATTCTTTGTAATAATTTTTTTAGATATTTTTTTAAAATATATTTAATGTAAAAAAATATCAATTAATATTTTTTTTAGTTTCTTATCATATTTTTAATTTTAAAAATAAAAAAAGTTTTTTTAATAAATTTTCAATAGAATATATTTTTTTAAAATAAAACAATCCATCCACCATAATTAAAGGTGACTTGACATCCTCCAAACATTACTTATCATATCATATCATACATGCAGACATGATATTTATCCTGTGATTTAAAATAGTAAAAGAGTTGATGAAATGATCTTAAGGGTATGATATTGATTCGACCAAATATAAATATAAAAAGCATCGAATATTGATTCTCTAGTTATTAAAAAAACAGAGAAATATGATGATGTAAAATTCAAAATAAAGAATGAATTAATTAAAAAAATCAATTAATCTATGGATTCTTTCTCTTTTAATTCTTCGAAAGACATTGAAAAAACGAGTTCTCTAATTAGACGAAGATAATTTATTTTACCCAATTTAAAATTATAAATTTGATTTGACCAAATTTATAAAGGGAGATGAGGTGAAATTTAAACTAAAGAATAAATTAAGTAAAACTCAATTAATTTATGAATTCTTTCTCTTTCAATCATTTGTCGTATATATTTGCTTGCCATATTGGTTGTTACTACTCAACTGCAGCTCTCTTTCCTTCATTATTGAATTCCTTTCCATCTTCATCAGATTCCCACTGACCAGTACTGTTGCAACTTGCAAGCATGGAAGTTATGGCTTCCAATGCTGCAAGTTCCTTTGATCCTGAAGATGGATCCAACTATGACAATGCTAATGAAGTGAAAGCATTCGATGAAACCAAAGCTGGTGTTAAGGGACTGGCAGACTCTGGTGTGATCAAGATTCCCAGGTTTTTTGTCCACCCACCAGATAAAACCCAGCAAGCATCATCCAAGTCTAGCAATATCAGCCTTCAGGTTCCAATAATAGACTTTGAGGGGTTTGAAAGTTCTCGGCGGATAGAGGTAGTGAATGAGATTCGCAAAGCATCAGAAAACTGGGGTTTCTTTCAAGTTGTTAATCATGGGATTCCAGAAAATGTCATGGATGAGATGTTAGCAGGAGTGAAACGGTTCCATGAGCAACCTCAAGAGGTGAAGATGGAGTTCTACTCTCGTGACGCTGATCAACGAGTCAAGTTCTTCACTGGTGTTCTCCTTCTGACTAAAGAACCAGCAATTTGGAGGGATACGGTAGCATTTGATTTCAAGGATGGTAAACTAGACCCTCAACTCTTTCCTGCCATCATAAGGTATTGAATATGTGTAGGCAGATCCTAATCTATCTATGAGTTCAGTTTTCTTGGATATTTTTATGGATTTAACCAAACTTATCTTTCAGAGAAGAGGTAAGCGAATACTTCAGACACGTTACCAAGATCGGCAAGGCACTATCTGAGCTCTTATCAGAAGCACTCGGGCTTCGAAGCAATTTCCTTTCAAGCATAGAATGCATGGAAACAGAATCATTGGTGGGTCACTACTACCCGGCTTGTCCTCAACCAGACTTGACCCTTGGCACCACCACACATTCAGACCCATCTTTTCTGACCATACTTCTGCAAGACAATATGGGTGGCCTGCAAGTTCGTCATCAAAATCAATGGCTTGATGTCCCCCCTCTTCATGGTGCTCTCCTAGTAAATATAGGGGACTTGATGCAGGTAATTAAGATTTAATTTTCCCATTGTCTGCATTTTTCTTTCTGAAAGTGATAGCCATTGAACGTATCCATAATTTCATTTGAGTTTGTCTAATTAAGAATATGACCCTACCAGCCTGGGAAAAACGGGAAAGGTTCAATCTAATCATGGTCTTGCAGTGCAGCAGTGCAATGGTCAATTTTCGGTCCTTTATCTTTTGCTGTAGCAGTGTCTTTTTTGTATGGACAGTACACTCGCAATGCTTCTATGTAATATTCATGTTTCCGGGTATTGTTTTTGTTTTTCGAAGAAAATATGAAATGCTGATTGCTAGTCCAGACGAGCATGACTGATGCACATCCTACAGATCAACGGGGATCAAATAAGTAGCAATTAGGACTTCTCGACAAAACACAGCATCGATTATATATAAGGACTTCTCGACAAAACACAGCATCGATCATATATATATATATAAATATATACATGCCTCTCTTTCTGAGAGGTTGTGCTTGGTATAAAAGTCTGGAAAAAAGAAGAAATAATTCAAGGTTGATAAAGATTTGGAAGATAAATTTATCACTGCAAAATGGAGAATTATAACTTTGATCAGTGACCTTGATGTTGGCTCAAGCTTATCGACTTTTTCAGGATGTGGCCATCTCTGCATCTATATCTTATTCTGCAAGAAATTGTCCTTTTTAGTGCAAGGATTAATGTTGTAATTTCTTCATTCTGTAGCTCATCACCAATGACAAGTTCAGAAGTGTGGAGCATAGAGTTCTGGCTGGAGAAGTCGGGCCTCGGATATCAGTAGCATGCTTTTTCTTCCCAAGCACAGCAAATAAGTTTAAACCCTATGGGGTAATAAAGGAGCTTCTATCTGACGACACGCCCGTGATCTATAGAGCAACTCATTTGGCTGAATTCATGGGTCAATACATGTCCACAGGATCATATATCTCCACCCTTTCTCATTTTAAAGTGTCAAGTGGCCAGGCTTGTTCCTCTACAGAAGATACTGATTGAAATCAATAAACGGCCTGTAACCTATAGCATTATCCTCCCTTTGTTGAATTTTTTTAGTTGATTTCAAGAAGTCATTTCGGCTTTAGCTGAGCAGCTCATCCTTTATGCTCACTCTACATCACTCTACATTGTTTCCTGTTTCAATATTTCTGCTTTACAATCCAAGGAACCATTACACTTTTGCAAAAGAAGCTGTTCCTAGCTAGAACTTGTTGGCATAGCTAGCAGATTGTTTTGAAAACGTGTTCCAAGGCAATTCCTTGCGAATCTCCTAATCCTACTGTGGATGTCTGTTCTTGGCACCGTAAAAAGGGTGGATCTAGTTTTGATGCTTGTGGATAAACAACCTATCGATCGCTCCATTATAGCAAATTAATGGCCCATTGTAACGTACATTAAAGGTAATGGTTATAAAGTCCTATTCTTTTCACATCATGCTATCGTGTCGATACACGATGGAACATAAAGAGGATTTACTCAGAATAATTAAAAGGATGGAAAGCAACCGATATTCCCGATTGAAAATCGATAATGGTGGTGGTGTTCCTCTGTATGAACAGTGTTGATGATAAGTTCTAAACAGGGATGATAATCTTACCCTACGCAACATATATTTAGTGTCCCAGTTGAATTTTTATCTAATTTCATCATAATTAAAATGGATCAAGTGAAAATCCAAGTTCTTTTCATTATCTGACTTGTATCCAACCTGATATTTTTATTGATTTCTTGTTAATATATTATTATTATTATTAATCCTATAATATATATATATATATATAAACCCAATGATCTAACATTTACTTATTAACTAAAATTTATTTTATAAATAAAAAAATCTTTAATTTATATCATTGTTATTATAAATCCTGTAAATATCAATTTAGTTTTCTAAATGTATTTTATAGTTGAATTTTAATTTATAATTAATATAATATATAATAATAATTATAACTAATGATTATTAATTAAGTAGTTTATATATATATATATATATATATATTTTGAAATGTATGTTCAAAGTTTATTTAACAAATAATAAGCATATAATTCAACATATATATGTATGTATGTATGTATGTATGTATGTATGTATGTATGTATGAAGACATCTTGAATAATTCTTATATATAACCGTGGTAACCTCTAATGATTTACCAATTAATATAGCTTACTAATAAGTACTTTAATTATATATTTTTAAATTTTTTAAATTATAAACACATCAATATATTAAATATTTTGAATATGACGTAAAATTAAAATAAGATTAGTTTTGTTATGTGAGGGTAGAACAAATTTAAAATAAAAATTTATTTTAAGGATTAAAAATTTTCTTGTTAGATTAGTTACTTACTAGACATCTTGTCAGTGATAAAAACTCTTTAACATCATAGGCAGTGTAAATTACAAATTAAAGTAGATTGGTTAATATTTAAATTTGAGATAAGACCAGTTTTTTTAATAATATTTTAATGTTTTTTATTTTAAATAAAAATTTTAAATTATTTTAATGTGTTAATATCAAAAATAAATTTTATAAAATAAAAAAAAATAATTTTAATAAATTTTTAAATAAAAAATTTAAAAAATATTTCCAGACATAATTACCCGCCTGCAGGTAATCAATATTTTGAAAGTAAATTAGATAGGAGGACGTTAACACCCTCTCCAAAAGTCAGAACTTTAACATTATAGCAAGTGGCCAGTGAAAGCTAAGGGCAATAATGGTGGTGGCACAAAAGTCCACTTCTCATAATTATATGATGTTGTGGTCTTGATAAATAATGACAAATAAATAGGATTTTTTTTTTCAAACAGGGGATTAATTGGAAACGAAATTAAAAAAGAAAAGAAAAGATGGAAAGGTGGTATTGAGAATTTGCATGTCGAATTTTTTCTATATTCATAAAAATAGATGTTTATATTAAATTAATTAATTTTTGAAAATTCATTATTCAAGTATTATGTATTATTTAATATATATATTTTGGGTCATATTTAATCATATTTATACTATATTTATTATTCATCAGATAAAATAATCATATAAAAATTCTTTTTATCCGCCCATCAGAGAAAGTTCAAAAGTCGTCATCTAAGTCTCGCAATTTCGGCCTTCAGGTTCTAACGATAGACTTTGAAGGGTTTGGATGTTCTCGGCGGATAGAGGTTGTGAATGAGATTCGCAAAGCATCAGAAAACTGGGGTTTCTTTCAAGTTGTTAATCGATCATGGGATTCCTGCTAGTGTCGCGGATGAGATGTTAGCAGGTGCAAGACGATTCCATGAGGAACCTCAAGAGGTGAAGCTTATCTTGTAGAGAAGAGGTTAGTGAATGTATCAGACATATGATCAAGCATAGAATGCATGAACTGAGTCATTATTACCCTGCTTTCCCTGAACCAGCCTTGACGTTTGGCCTCACCTAACATACAGACCCGTCCTTTATTAAGTATAGTTCTGCAAGACAACATGGATGGCCTCCAGGTTCGTCATCAGAAGCAGTGGATTGATGTCCCCTCTGCAGGGAGCTCTTCTAAGAAATATAGGGGACTTAATGACCGCAGGTACGTAATAGTTTATGCAGCAATAGTTTTATTTGAGTTTCTCAGAGGACGGCAACCTGCCTGTCTCGGGCAAGCTCGAAAGGTCGAATTCAAGCACTATCTTTCAATGAAACAAAATATTGATCATACGTTACTCACTCTTGAGAGGTTGTACATGACATAAATGTCTGCAATTAAGTCCTCAAGATCGATAGAAATGGATCGAAAATCATAACTCACTAAAACTTGATGTTGTCTAAAGTTTGATGACCTTTTCAGGACGTGGCTATCTTTGTCTGAGACATAGAATCATTCTAAATGTAATGACCTAAAAGTGTTGTTTTCTTCAATTTTTAGCTTATCACCAATGACAAGTTCACTAGATAGCTTGTAACACTATTAACATTCTCATTACCTTGTTGAAATTGTTAGTTGAATGTGGATTAGACAAAAGATTTAAACCTTGTGGTGAAGGATCCATTTTCAACCATTTATGTGACTTCGCGTTTGTACTTTTACTCTCTGGAATTACTTGCCCGAGACACAGGCTCTTTTATACTTCTTACTTCAATAGCTTGCTTGATGGCTTTTTGTTGTTCTCGAATGATTCCGAACACCAATCCAATTACTCTCTAATGTTTATAGAAATGATCATGGAAAGTGAAAGCATGGATCTGATCAGGTAAGAGCAAGGGTGGAAACTAAATCAAAAGAATGAGAGATTAATTAAGGAAAAGGTCAATTTTGTGTGTTTAAAATCACTTTCAATTCTTAATGTATTCTTTCAATTCTTATGTATTCTTTCAATTCTTTTGACTGAGAGTAATTCAAAGATGTAACAAAGAAAGAATTGAATAGATTCAATCATGCAGGCTTGAGTGGACCTAGGCAATAGTAAACAAAATTATCATACGAAGAGAACTGGGAGAGAAAGAGAGAGGGAGGGAGAGATTTGAGGATGGGATTGCAGACCTTTCATGATGTCTCATAATTAAGGCTAGACCAGGAAGATCAAAAGTTCTGATGGGCCATTCCAGGTTACAATTTTTCTTATGCATCAATTATGACCATCTGACTGCTCTAGTTAATTAGACACATGCCCTTCACAGTAATCAGAAACTCTACTTCTGTAACCAAAACTAGCATCATCATCCGATTCTGCAAACATGGAAGTCACGATTTCCAATTTTGAAGAAGGCTCAAACTATGACATAGACAAGGAAGTGAAAGCAATCGATGCAACAAAAGCTGGTGTTAAGGGACTTGTTGATTCTGGTGTGACCAGGATTCCCAGGTGTTTTGTCCACCCACCAGAGAATGTGCTGAAGTCATCATTCAAGTCTAGCAATATCAGCCATCAGGTTCCCATTATAGACTTCGAAGGGTTTGAAAGTTATCGGCGATCAGAGGTGGTAAATGAGATCCGGAAAGCATCAGAAGAATGGGGTTTCTTTCAAATTATTAACCACGGAACTCCAGTTGCTGTCATGGATGAGATGTTAGCAGGGGTGAAACGATTCCACGAGCAACCCCAGGAAGCGAAGGCGGAGCTGTACTCTCGTGACCCTAAAAAAAGAGTGAAGTTCTTCTATGGAGGAGTGGTTCTGACCAAAGAAACAGCGGTTTGGAGGGATACAGTGGCAATAAATTTTCAGGATGGTGAACTTGACCCTGAACTATATCCTGAAGTTTTAAGGTATTAGAACTTTGCAATAAGCTCTAAAACTGTCTCTCTGTGAATTCATTTCTCTATGAGATTTCCACTGGATTCAGCTAAACTTGTCTTGCAGAAAAGAGTTAAGTGAATACACAAAACACATGACCAAAATCAGCAAGACTCTGTCTGAGTTCTTATCAGAAGCACTCGGGCTTCGTTGTGACTACCTTTCAAGCATTGAATGCATGGATACTCAAGCATTGGCGGGCAACTATTACCCACTTTGTCCTGAACCAGACTTGACAGTGGGCGCCACCAAGCATACAGACCCTTCTTTTCTGACTATTCTTGCTCAAGACAACATGGGTGGCCTCCAAGTTCATCATCAAAATCAATGGGTAGATGTCCCACCTCTGCAAGGAGCACTTGTAGTAAATATAGGGGACTTCATGCAGGTAAAATTTCTTATATTTTCAGTTGATTAGGATTTTCCTCCTATGATTTTGATTTTCTTTTTCAATATTTTTATGTGAGTCGGTCAAAGAGAGGCAACCTATCTCCCTTTGACAAAATAGAATGAGATCGCATCTAAACAAGGATGTTAGATTATCACTATTCTGACATTTTCAGAATTATAGTTTCAGAATTTGTGTCGCACCTTATCCGATGCAACGATATGAATCGTTAATGTTGAAATCATGATGGGAAATGTGCCAAAAATTGTTTTCTAACTTCTACTGTGATGGATGTTGTTTCTTCATTTTGCAGCTTATCACTAATGACAAGTTCAGAAGTGTGGAGCATAGAGTTCTGGCTGGAGAAGTCGGGCCTCGGATATCAGTAGCATGCTTTTTCTTCCCAAGCACAGCAAATAAGTTTAAACCCTATGGGGTAATAAAGGAGCTTCTATCTGACGACACGCCCGTGATCTATAGAGCAACTCATTTGGCTGAATTCATGGGTCAATACATGTCCACAGGATCATCTATCTCAGTCCTTTCTCCTTTTAAAGTGACGAGGCCATGCTAGTTGCTTCACTATTTCTGCTGCGCGAATTTGTTGAATTTTCTCTTTCCTTCATGGATGTTGAACATCAATAAACAGCTTGTAACAGCATAATATTATCATCCAAAAGACTTAAACCTTACAGTGAGTGATCCATTTTCAACCTTTTGTGTGACTTTGCTTTTATATTTTTGTTCTATGTTGGGATGCCTACTGAAATGCATTCTTCTATACCCCTTTTACATTGACAGCAACTTAGAGTTGTGTAATTGAATCATCCACAGCATTGATCATGCATGCCAGCTCTATTCAACTTCTTACAAGGCTTGGGCTCGTCCTGTTGATGAAATGTAGTTATTTTTTAAAAAGTGATTTAAAAAAAATAAATTTCAGAAAAATAAATTATTTTTTAATGTTTGGTAATGTAATGAAAAATAAGTTGAAAAATATTTTTCAGTGTATAGTTATGTCATGGAAAATAATTTATTAATATTTTATTTTTTTCAAGTTTATTAAAATAATGAGGAATAAATCTTACAAATTAATAAGTTGAATAAGAATGAAATTGAAAAAAATATAATTTTATAAATTATCTCAAATAAAATAAATAACAATCAAAATAATAAAGATTAAATCTACAAAATAAAAATTAAAAGATGAAGAAATTAAAATAATAATAATTAACTTTTCATAAATTATTTCAAATAACATAAGTAACAATCAAAAGAATGAGGA